TCATCTTGCCAATGATTTCCTGGATTTTGACACCAAAAGTACAGGCAACAAAAGCAATAATAGGCAAGTGAAACTCTATCAAACTAAAAAACTTCTGGGAGAAAATTTTTGCAATCTATATATCTGGAAGGGGTTAATTTCCAAAATATATAAGAAACTTCTACAATTCAATAGAAACAAACTCCACCAAAACCCCTCCCAAAAAAACCTGATTGAAAAATAGGCAAAGGACTTAATAAATATTTCTTTGAGGAAGACATATAGAAAATAGATATATCAAAAAATGCTCAATATCTTTAATCATCAGGGAAATATATACAAAAACACAGTGAGGTGAAGCCTGGCATGGGGTGCATGCCTGAAATCACAGCGGCTTGGGAGGATGAATCAGGCAGATGACAGGTTTGGGACCAGCCTCAGAAACTTAGTGAGACCCTGTCTCAAAAAAACAAAAAAAGAAAGGAAAAAAAAAGAGTCTGGGGGATGTAGGTTAGTGGTAAATTGCTCTTGGGTTAAGTCTCCAGTATCACTGCCCCCCACCAAAAATCCACAATGAGATATCACCTCAAATCTGTTCAGATGGCCTTATAAAATAAAACATAACAGATAATAAATTTTCTTAAGGATGTGGAAAAATTTGAACCCTTGTACACTGCTTGTAAAAATGTAAAATGGTTTATCTACTATGGAAAACAGTACGGAGGTTCCTCAAAAAATTAAAAATGTAACTACCATATGAGCCAGAATCCTCACTTTTTGAGTTTTTATCAAAAAATAATTGAAATCAAGATCTCAAGGAGATATGTGTACTCCCATATTCATTGCAGCATTATTTACAAAAACCATCCTAAATGTACATCAAAGATGAATGGATAAAGAAAATGTGGTGTATACATACTATGAAATACTATTCAGCCATGAGGAGGAGGAAATCCTGTCATATGTTTCAACATGAACGTGGAAGCCATGTGCTCAGTAAAATAACCTATCCCCAGAAGGACAAATACTGTGTGATTCACGTATATGAGGTATTTAAAATAATCAAACTCATCAAAGTAGAAAGTAGAATAGTGGTTGCCAGGGGCTAGAGGGAGGGAGAAAAGGAGAGTTGTTGTTCAAAGGGTATAAAGATTCAGTCATGCAAGATGAAAAAGTTCTAGAATCTGCCACAGACTATGGTGTTGATAATTAACAAAACTGCAGTGTACACTTAAAAATCTATTAAGAGGGTAGGTCTCAGATTCTGTATTTTCTTTACCACAATAAAAATAGTGAATGCCCTGCACAATAATAATCACAGAAATGCAAATAAAAAATTATCACCTGTCAAATTAGTAAGAATTTTAAAATGCTGGTGAGAGTTCCCTCAGGCAGGTTCTCATTTAGTGCAAGTTACAGGATAAATTGGCAGGCACAACCGTTTTGAAAAACACTTTGGAAGTACACATCAAAAGGTCTTAAAAATGTTTATACCCTTTGATGTAAAAATTTTACTTGTAGAAATCTGCTTTTAAGAAATAACAGCAAATATAAATACGTTTATTATTTATAATAGCAAAATTTAAAATTACTCCAAATGTCCCATAAAAGGAACATGGTTAATAAATGTTGATAATTACTATTTTAAAAGTTTATGAGGTTTTAGTGACAACAGAAAACTTTTTACAGCATAACACTAAGTGGAAAAAGCTAGGATAAAAAACTTCATAAGAGATATTTACACATAGTATTATCACCACGTTGTCAAAGAAAGAGAAAAAGATGTAGAAAATACACAGAAATGAAAAAAAAGGGGGGTATTTCTGAGTAAGGAGGTTATGGATGGTTTAAGACAAGGGTTTTAAAAAATCCTTTTCCCATGTTTCCCAAACTTTTGACAAAGAACTTATATTACTCTTTCAATCAGGAAACAAACAAAAAAGATTTTTCCATCTTTTTGTTTGTTTCCTGATTGAAAGAGTAATATAAGGTTTCACAGAAAAATATATTATATCCTGATCAAATCTATATTTTTCAAACTGTATTTACTCTTTACTCTTTGCAAACACAAATATAGGAGATAAAATGTACAGTGACCAAAAATTAAACTCTTCATGCTAGAAATACTTGGAGGTATTTTACTTAAGTTGGTTAAAATAAACAAACTTTTTTACTAAATCTTTGAATTCTAAAGCAAAAGAGATAGGCATATCAGGAGAGAAAGCAAGAGAGAGCATTACATTGTTTGTATAGTAAACATATGGCTTCTGGTAGCCCAAGGAAATATCATTGGGTCCCTGTGGGATACTATGTGCATCCTCTTCAGGAGAGTGGTCTGCAGGGACGTTAATGGCATGACCAACAGGAAGAGTAGGGAAGGGTCTGTCCTGGCAGCAAGGACAGCCAAACCCACCATGGCTTTCAGTGGATTGGCAGATGGCACAGCCAGATTGTCCCACCAGCCTGGAGCTACTAACTAAAACAATTACATTCAAGAGAGGATAAATTCATGCTACAGATTCCTAATATTAGCTGGGATGGTGGGGGTCATGTTTCAATTGGTTTGGGTTGTGAGCAGATAATGAATAAAGGATGGGCCAAGAGAGGTGCAAGCTGGCTTCTTTAGGGACATAAGCCATTAACTCTGAGAAAATCAAGTTTACTGCCATGGCCCCAGTCCTCCTATTTGATGCCACTTGAGAAGTGTTCTTTTACTTGTACTTACATGTTTCCTTGAAATCAGAGAAAGTCAATTTGGAGATTTTGGGTACAACTTAGAAACTTGACATGGTTTTGGTGGGCCTATGAGATATTTAAAGGTGTGTGTACTGTGGTTGGTGGTGGGGAGCTTAAATGTGTTGCTGACAGTTCAAAATTGAGAAATTTTGGCATAATCAGGATTTGGAGTTCTTAAACAAGATTAAATCTATCAAGGGTAAGCTGTCATTGCCACAGACCACCAGTATACCACAGTTTTCACTCAGTTCATTATCTCATTTGGATTTTCATGCATGGAGTCTGTATGTATTCCTAAACCCTGATCAATAGGCTTGCTCTTACCAGTAGGAAGCTTTCATCGTTCAGAGAGACTTGACAGAAAAGGTCTACTCATAAGCTCTGAGCTGCCTCTGATAAAAAGCTTCCATTGAGAGAAAAATTCGTTCAAAGCAACACTACCTGTAAGTAACTCTGATAAAGACAAACCTGATGAAGCACTATAAAAATGCTCAAAGACTCTCTGGGGGATAAGAAAGATGCCCCTCTGGAAGTCATGGGTGCCCTATGCAGGTAGTTAGAATGGACAGGGCTTTCAAGGAAGATTGGGACAGACTGTGGGATGCTCACAGTTTAGTATTTGGAACTTAGTAGGAGGTTAATAAATATTTGTTTCCATCTTCCTAACAGCAGATGCAGAGCACAGCAAGGAAGAAATGGAGCCAGAACATGTAATGCAATGCACAAAAGCACAGCATGCCAAGAGAGAAGGAGGTAATTGTAGCCTAGAGATCAGTAGATGCACTAGAATAGACCTCTAGTAGTTAGGATGACAGCTCCAGGTACTGTAGTGATGGGGACTGCAAAACTGCAGCATGATTCTGACGGATCTTTGATAGTTATACATCTACATGGTAAGTTGGAGCATAGGATAGATGAAAACAAGCAGAAATCAAGCAGAAATTTAGGTAGAAATCACACCAACACTGGTGTGAGGAGAAAGAACTCAACCCTTCAGTGAATGATGGTTTGTTAAAATCATAACAAACTCTTTATAACATAAAAATATAAAAAGTATGTAAAACATGCAGGATAGACATATTCAGTTTAGGTACAGGATTCCAGTAATTAGTGGAAATAAGTTAACTGTTTAATAAAATTTATTTTTGGCTTATTGATGGTGCAGCTTGTGTCACTTTGGAATGATTTATTCCTAAAGCCTCAATTTAAAAAAAATCAGTTACTAACTGAAATAAAACCATCAAAAGCTTCATTGTTACTACAGTAATAACCTGTCAGAGAATGTTACAGGAAGGGTGTTGAACAGCAGAATGGAAGGTTACAGATGCAATTATTTCTTCTCTAGGTCATAGCCAATCAGTCGCTGTTTACACACAGGGTAGCTTCTGCACTATTTATTTCTTTAAATATTTAACAGTTTTGAGAGGCAGTGACTGACAATAGTCTATAGAGTTTCTAGCATGTTATGAGTGTTTAATAAATGTTAAAATATTTAATAAAATTCCCTATGATGAAAAACAGCAGTCAGTAAAACTGTTATAGCCTACAATATTTTAATGCCATAGTAGTAACTATTTAAAAATATAAAAAGCAAACAGTGCATTGACTAAACCATAATAAAAAGGAATATTTAGAGTCACCAAAAAAAAAAAAATCCACCTAGGTAATTTCCTCCTAAATTCCTTTGGGAATCATAGGAAAGTGCATAGAAAATGGATTTAAAAAAAAAAAAAAAAACTTCTTTGGAAAGGAGGTGAGTGTGTGCGACACTTCCAGATGTAAGCCGGGTCGCAGTGACACGCAGAAAGCCAATGCTCTGACACAGCAAGGAAGTTCTTTATTTCCGTCTAATCCTGGGAAAACGTCCGCTAGGCTTGGTAATCCTGACTACAAGGTTCCCGCATCTCCTGCGCAGCCCTCAGCCGCTGAAGTCCGGGGCGGCGAGGGCTGAGGACCCCGCTCTCTAACTTTAGAGAAGGAAGTAAGGGGAAAAACAGAGCTGCTCCTTTAAGAACTCCCCTTCCCTTTTACTCTATGTTTACATAACACGGGGCCAGTCCCGGGCCGCCCGTGGGGGCAGGGAGGGGGCGCGGGCGGCCCCACGCGCTGGGGGCGGGGTCGGAGGGCGGGGGGGCGTCGGCGCTCGCGAGGGCGGGGCCCCCCACCTGCCCGCGCCGGCGGGGCGGCTCCGCGCTCTGGCCCCCGCCCACCCCGCCTCTCGCGCTCGCTCGCTCCCTCCCTCCCTCCCGCGGGGCTTCGGCGGCGGCGGCTGCAGTGGCGGCGACGCTAGGCGCTCGGCGCGGGCAGGTCCCCCTGCTGCCCGGTCCCATTTGTTGCCGGGTCTGGCTCGGGGCGGCCGCGGCGCGCGGAGCTCCGGGGAGCCAGGCGGGCAAACGCGCAGCCACGACGGAGCAGCCGCGGGACTGGCCGCCCCGCGCCCCCTTCGCCGCGGTGCCCTTCCCCGGCGCGCTCACCCCCTTCTCGGGATGGGATTGTAGCGGCGGCGCGGACTCGGCGGGGATCGCGGCGGAGGCGGCGGCGGCGGCGGCCGAGCGGGGCTCCATGTTTTCCCCGGGCCAGGAGGAGCCCAGCGCCCCCAATAAGGAGCCGGTGAAATACGGGGAGCTGGTGGTACTGGGGTGAGTCCGGGCAGACGGGCGGGCGGCGAGCGTCCCCGAGTGGGGCCGCGGGGTGGCTCGGGCGCTCTCTGGGGACCGTTGAGGCGGCGGGAGCGGCTCGCCGGAGGCCGGGATGCTTTGGTCCGCGCGCGCGGGACACTGCGGCGGGCGCCGGGATGTGCGGCGCCCGCGGAAGCGACTCTGGCGACCCCGCTGGGCACTGTCTGGCGCTCCCGGACCCAGTCCTCGGCGGTTCCGCGGGGGCCGGGGCTTGACTTCTCGCCCTGTGGCTGCCCTCTCAGGGACCGGGGAGGGTGAGCAGGAGCTCGGGCACCTCGTGGAGTCGCTTCCCTAAGCTGGGGAGCCAGCCGTCGCGGCCCCTGGGGGTTCTTAATCTCCCGAGGACCGTTGGCCCCGAGCACCCGTCTTCGGAACCCCGAGTGCGGGCTGTGGGCTCGCGCCGCCGCGGACAGTGGGGCTGCGTTTTGCATATTGTTATGGTGACCGCCGCGGGCGGTGAACTGTCTGTGACCCAGGCTAGCAGGCTAGCCCTGGCTTCTCAGAGTAGGGAGGGGACGAGCAGGGACGCTGCCTTGAGGGGCCTGGACACCGGGCGCGGGACCGCACTCCTCCAGCCCCCGGCCCAGGGCCTCGGCCTCGTGGATGCCCTCCTGGCGGCTGGGCAGCGGCAGGGAGCGAGCCAGCCGCCTCTGCTCCTTCTCCGCTGGTGAAAACCACATTTTGAAGATAGTAATTATCTACAATCGTTAAACGGCAGCAATTAGAGACTTCATCTACTTCCTGATTTTCCTTGTGACATTTCTATTGTTTACCCTTAATAAACCAGGAGAGAGGCTTCGCGGGATTAAAGCAGGATAAAGTGGGCAGTGAAAGGGGAGTGGAAGGGGGAGGAGAAAAGTGCAGGAAACTCGGGAGAAGGAGCAGCTTGGCTTTAGTGTTGGAGGAGAAAGGATTATTTTTCCCTTTGGATGTGCCGCTCCTGGGAACCCGCGCTTTTGTCTTCCTCTGTTGAAAGACTTGTATTCAGAGCACCGTGAGTGCTGATAGGTGGGTTTAGCACACATGTGAGGAGTCCTAGCTATGGAAAGACTTATGGGACTTGGAGAAACGTGTCTTGATAACTTGAAGTAAATGCCAACTTAAAGATAATTTTAAAGAGAAGCTCCCAGACACAGCTGCCTACTCTTCCTCACTTTGTTGCTAGAGTAGTAAATGGGATAGTGCTGGAAATCCCATTACTGGTCTCGAAACTGTCTGCAGCTAAGCGTTTTTCACACCTGCATAGTAATTGCACTTAAAAAGACAGATATCAGGGTTCTCTAGACAGAAGGAGGAGTGACAGAGAAAAAGCCACAGTTTGGTCTGTCTTATGTAACTTCAACCCAACCTAATTTTGTGAAGTTTGGATTTATTTGTGTGGCTGGCTTCAAAGTATGTTTAACACTGTGAACTTGACATGGAAGATTAACTTATGCCAGAACTTTATTTCATTATTTCCTTTTGAGGCAATCATTGTTGAGATGTTTCAGAACAGCAGTGAGTGGGCCTGGAGGAGATTTTGTGTTCATAGTTGGAAGTGAAGGGCATTCCAAAGCCAACAGAAGGATTTATATTCTGGATTGTCCTGGTGTCATAGGCTTATTCCAAAGTAGGCTATGTAAATCCATTGCTAGTTGCATATGAACTGCCTTTTACTAATGCTTTCCAAGAGACATTAAGTCTGACATTGCTGCTGTTTACCTGACAGTTGGGGTCAGACAGGCAGAAGTTATTTGTGCACCTATTTGTGCCAGCTCTTTGTTTAGGCATTGAGGATCCAGCAGTGAACCAGGAACTTTCAGTTTAGTGTGGAGTGACAGGCATAAACAGGACCAAAAAAAAAAAAGTGAATAAATTAATAAATGACAACTTCAGGTGTTGCCAAATTCTCAACAGAAAATTGGTTAAAGAGTGACTGCTGGGTTTTGCTTTCTTCAGTTAAGTCAGGGAAGGTCTTTCGGAGAAAGTAAAGTGTGAGTAGAAGATGCTAGTTGTTTTTTATATAACTTGAATTGTCTTTGTTTGAGAGTAGGTTTCTGACTCTAGCAATATTAAACTTTACAGAAAAGGTAAAATAGTGAATAAGTGGGTATTTTAAAGAGGCTCTTATTGAATTATATCCTAATCTCAGGACTTGAGACAGTGTCTTCCCTTTTAAAACAACAATAACATTCAAAGAACAATCACTATCACCATTGCATGTCTGATCTTCTAGGATATATATATATATATGTGTGTGTGTGTGTGTGTGTGTGTGTAAATAGTCTATTAGATTTTCTTGTTATTTTTGAGGTTAAAAAATGCTTAGTGTTTTATATTGATGGAATTCTTTGCTTATACAGTATATTGTTTTTTGTTTGCATTTTCTAAAAGTTGTTGTGACTGTCCCTCTATGCTGTCTTCTGAATTTAATAGTAAAATCTTACCAGGAAATTCTAGAGGTCAGGCCGAAAGGTTGATAGATATCTATATCTTTATATAGTATTCTGCATCTTTTCATATGTTACAATATTAATTAATCCTATGCAGTTAGGATTTTATTGGGTTATAACTTTTTGTCAGATTAGTGAAATTTAAATTTTTTCATAATTCCAACCAGTTAATGTATCACAGCCACACTTTTTTGTTGTGCCCACTAATTAATTGAATGTGCAGGAAAATGTCTACTCATTGGGTCTTTCTTGCTCTTAATTTTAAACTTGACTAACATTTTAAGGTTGGGGAAGTGGCTTAGGATTTGAGAGGCAGTTGAGTGGGGTGGGAACAGCATACATTCACAGTTAGGGAACCTGATTCAAGTCCTGCATTCTTGTCAAGTGGCTTTGTGATTTTGACTTACTTCCTCCCTGTTTTTTTAGCAATAACAAAATATGATTGGATTAGATTTTCATCAAAAACCCTTGGTCTGTACTCTGGAATTTTGTCATTGGCTCAAATGTAGAAAATGTATAGTTAAGTTACATTGTCCAAATTGCTTGACATTTGTTGATTTTTATGTATTAAAGTGATGGTACTAGAATTCGAATAGGCCCACATCCTGCATCTGTAGCAGAAAGGCTAATGCTATGTTTGTTTTTTATGAAGTAGACATACATAAAACAGGCTTAAAAAAGTAATATTACACATATACTTGATTTCTTGGTGGTAGGTTATGCATGAGAACATTCAAATTGGGTAAAACTTGCTGTCTCAAATTTAAGAAAGGCAAAGATGGTTTGAAGTCAAGCTAAATAGATTGAAATTCTAGCATAAGGAGGAGATAATCTAATGGTAGAATTTAGGACTGGAACGGGCCTAAGAGGTATTGGTATATATTCAGCCCTTTTATTATTCACAAACTGGGGATTTGGAAAGGAAATTTTTTTCGAGTTCCTACTTCTTCCTATCTGAGCTGGGTCACTGTATATACTGTTTCCCAGTGCTATCAGCCCCTCAAAGTACCCTTTTTGGATTCAATTTGAAGCATGCGGCTCTCTTGCTGACTAATGGCCCATCATGGTTTTTGGAAAAATAATGCTTAGTTCCCCTCACCTCACAGTTGAATGGATAATACATTTTGTAATACATTTTCATTAGATGCTTCACAAAATATATCTCAACCAAGGGTTCCTAACTGAGGGTCCACAGATGGAATTCAGGGAATCTACACATGTGAATAGGAGAAAAACACATCTTTATTTTCATTGAATTTATTAATTCAGACATTGTATTCAGATGTATGTAGCATTTTGCTTTATTATCAGCATATGAGACAAAAAGGTCTACTGCTAGACTTGTCATTTAATGCCTCAACATAGAAGTACATGTATGATTTTTTACAATTTAAAACTACTTGGATAACTCGGTGTAACTGATTTCTTTGGTATTCTGTTTTATACATTGAAAAAACCCATTTGTCTGAGCAGAGTTGAATAGGCTTCATCAGACTACCAAAGAGATCCTTGGCACAAAAAGAACTTAAGATCCTTTACAAATTAAGTTTATAAATATTACTGAAAAAAGAAGTTAAGTATCTTAATGGAAATATTAAGTATTACTAAAGAGGGGAGATACCTGCCTTGTTTCCTTTGGATCATGCAGTTGCCTGTTAAATAAAACAAAAAGGACTATTGCTTGAAGAAGTTATGTGTCTTTCTTTTTAAAAGGTGGTCTCCAATTTTTATATGTTTTTCTGTTGTTCTGTAGGGACTTTGCCTTGATTCTGCCTCCCTTTGGTGATAATAAGGAACCTTAAAATGTATCCTGACACTTCTTATTTTCTGATCCTCCACTCTAATTTGGGCACATAGACTTCAAACACTAGTATCTTTTATAGACTTAAAAGCCTTTGAACTGTTTTTTTTTTTTTAATAAAACAAAATCTTTTTTGTCACTTAGCATGTGGGGTGATCTGAAGAGTTCAGATCTGTTTATGTGGACATAGTGTCTCATTCTGTAGGGCTATTAAGGGTTATGATGTTACTGACTTTAGGTTGCTATATTTTTCTTTACTAACTTTAGCCTTGTTTGGAATATGTTGCTCTCTGTGTGACTTTGTGGCTTCTGGTCTGACTTTCTCAGATTTATTTGGTTCTTTAACACAACAACGCTGGAATTTTTATTAGGACTTTTCACTTTGGGTCATATTTCATCATGTGGGGATGCTTTTTATAAACAAATAAAAGCAGCTTGATTCAAGTTCTAACAGCTTGACCAGACATTTTACCTGAAAGATAAAATGCAGACACAGAAGACCAGAACAGAATAAAACATAGCAGTTGCTGTATTGGGGTGACACTGATGTTTTGGACCTGGAGCCATTGTTCTGTGACTGCTGTGCAGGGGTGGCAGTGTGGCCTCCCTGAAAAGAGTATGTGAGGCTGTAGTTGGCTTTTGAATGGAGACAACAGCAACTGGTGGACCTCATTGGTATGGGAGAAAAATAACTGTGAGAAGGAATTTCTAACATCTTTGAGTTATTG